CCCTTCCCCTACAAGAACAGGAGGGCTACTCAAAACCCTCAGTTCTAAGCTCAAGCCGAATCCTAGTGGGTATCATGAATTATTCCATTAGCCATCAGGGTGTCCAAAACTTTGCTACCCATGCCGTTGGATCTTTCCAGCAGTCATATACTGTTTAAGTAAATGGCAAACATGCTAACCAGAACAGTGAAACATACTCTAAAACTTTACTTAAAACTGAAATATGGATTAATATCTGAAGACTAAGATCCTTTTTTCTCCCAAATAGAAGAGTAGTAGTTGTTTTTTTGGCCTAAGTCGATTCAGTTTAGTCACCAAATTGTCTAAAATCAAGGTTTCCACAGTTTCAACCAACACTAAATTTTAAAGTTCACACACAATTCTGAGTTTTGACCAAACCTAATTACCACAATAGGAGTACAGATAGGCATTGCTCCCCCCGAATGAAGCTTAGAAAGGAATTAATAGAGGGATGTGGGTCAGGCGCTTTGGAAGATGTAGGAACCAAATGATAAAGCATGTAGCCCCGAAACAGAAATGAATATGGAAGGGGAGCAAAGCAAGTCAAATCAAATAATTTTGATGGACAAAATGGATGATGGATTGCTAGTATATGAGTGCTTTGAGTTGCCAATCACCAGTCAACATTGTTAAGAATCCATTTCCTGTCATATTCTGAATATTTTTATGATTATGACTTTTTGTTGAATAAATAGTTTAACTGATAATAATTTTCACACCTAAGTCGCACATGACATACAAAAAAGCAAATGAAAAAAATTCTAAATCAAAGAACCTTTAAACCTCTCAACAGAATCATGCAAAAACATTGGAACCCTCAAAAGGCCATTTTTGCGTCTGGATAGTCGTTAACAGCTATGTTTTATGCTAACCTACCCTCAACTAAATGGATTGATTTTAATTAAATATGTTGCTACAATTTGTTCCAGATCTGGAAGGCTAGAGAATGTCTTGGATTTGGGGGGATACACTAAATTGCAGCTTTTCTAGATCGTGTGAAAGGAAACAAATTATATAAAACTAGGAGAAAAAACCTACAACCTTTGTTCCAATATATAAGACTCAAATACTTAATTCATCAAAGTTAAGAAAAGTAATTGATTTAGTTAATAGCAATAAATTTATTATATTTATATATATATATTTAAAATTATTCTTGTATTAATTTTTTCTCGTAGTTCATATTTATCTTTTTCTTAATTAATTAGAGTGCATGCTTTATATACTTTTTTATAATTAATATCACTTACTCTCTTAATTAATTAAAATACATATTTTTTAAGGAGTTTATAATAAATGTATTCTATCAAATTAAGAAAATTTGTCTTAATTAAGGATATTTTTACCTTAAAATAATTAATACATTTAAACACTTTAAATTGAGTCTTACATTAAAAAAAACAAACTATTATTTTAAGTTATAAATAAGAATCAAGGTAGTATTTGGTATTGAGCCCTTACTAACAAAAGTTATGCATAATCCTGATCTAAAGTATTTGGTACATGACACCTATTATCTCACTTTTTCAATGACTAACATATTGACCAGCAATTCAGGTGTATCATATTTATAGGTAACAAGTAGCAACTGCTAAAAATATTCGGCACATGACACTAGATATAGAGGTGCTTAATTATCAGGTGGGAGTGAAATGACTATTTGTCCAAGTGGAAGAATATAATACTGAATTAATGTTTTTGATTTATTTTGTTAAGAAAAGTTAAAAATAAGCTCATGATGACTCACCAATCAGTTCATCAAGATGGAGTCCTAAAACACCATAAGTGCCACAAAGCATAACAAGGTACCAGTGATTACCACAATTCAAATACATAACAACATTTAATCACAAGTGCAAGTAAGATTCCTTGGGAGGCTTATCAAGCCATATGCTTTAGTGTTTAAAAACCTATAATAGTCATGGATCAAAATCTAGCTTAGCTAGAAAGCAAAATCAAAAACACAAATCAACAAATTGAGCTAATTGCAAAATTTTGAAGAGAGAAAAGGGTAAAACAAAGTGCACCTTACCTTGGAACCTTTGCCTGAATTGCCTTTAATTGCAAAATTTTGTTTCATGCTTCAACATATGCAGAAACAATGTCGAGTTCTGTTTTGCATTTTATTTTTATTTTTAGGCTAAATACCTATTTTGGTCCCTTATAATCTTTTTTGTTTCAATTAAGTCCCTCATTAATTTTTGGTCTCAATTTGGTCCCAAACTAATTAGTTGGTTTCAATTTAGTCTCTAATAAATGAATTGGTTTCAATGTGGGACTTCCGTCCAAATTTCTTTAACGGTGTTAACTGTTGGCTACGTGGATGCCACGTAAATGCATAGGTGGATGACACGTGGAAGCCAATTATGTTGAAAATACCTGGAACCAGAACGACCCGTTCTGAAACCAGAACAGGCCGTTCTGGATTTTTGGTGTGTTAATTTTGCATCTGAAACCGGTCGTTCCAGATGCAAAATTAACACACCAAGAGTAGATCAGAACAGTCCGTTCTGAAACCAGCATGACCCGTTCTGGATTCAGAACTGCCCGTTCTAGGTTCAGAACGGACCGTTCTGGAATCAGAATGGCCCGTTCCAAAACTGAGAATAGAATATTAATTTTTAATTTTATTAAAAAATATAATAATTTTGAAAATTATTTTTTTAAGATAAAAATTTTAAAATTACTTATTTTTATTAAATACAATTGTCTTATAAATAGAGTAATAAATTTTTCTTTTTCTTTTTCTATCTGAAAAAATATTTAAGTGTCACTTTATAATTTTTTGTAACTTATTTAAAATTAGAGGAATAAAATGATAAAATTTAATAAGATAAACATAATAAAATTATTAATTTATTTTCTTTTAGTGTCCTCTAAATTTTTACATTCATTTAAAACAA